TAAATAATAAATACATTAGCACCATGTTAAAATTGTGCAAAACATGAAATTAATATTTAAAGAAAATCAAAATAATTGATAAAAACTAATGCTGACGTCGAAAAAAGGCTAATTTTCAAAATTAAAAAATATTGAACAAGTATCTACATTTTAAGAAACTCAATAATATAACTGAAATTTAAAAAATTCCAAGAATAAATCAAATATTGACTAGGAAGATACGACCTATTAATAAGCAATTGCAAAGAATACCCTACTATGAGGTAAATTGTAAAAGTATAATTTTAATCCAAAAGTAAATTAATACTATGCACTTAACTAATATATAATAAATGAAAATTTAGAATTGTGAATATAAAATTATTAAAAATAAAAAAAAATAATCCAACTCAATGTTTTTCTTATGCCACCTGTACAATATTTTTGGTGATGTCACAGATATATTTCAGGTTAAGTGTTCAAAATGATAAAAGTTAGTCACCTATTCAAAAATATAATTAATTTATTATAGATGATGGCAATTAAAATGATTAACAACAACTACTAATAACAAAAATAATAATTCCTATTAATTAAATGTTTACTTATTTATTAACCTAGCATATGGTTTGAAAGGACATACTGTTATAGAGATGTTTATACAGAGTAGAAGCAAACATTATTAAATTGGTAAAATAGAGGTAGAAGTAGGAAAACCAAAACAGTATTAATATAAGAAGATTAATTTAATTTAACATAATATGTTAACACAATATTAAAGAGTTATAATTACCATGAATATGTTGTGCCTAAATCAATTCCAATAACAGTACCAAGTTCTTCTTTGGATGCACTACTCGCAATAGGGCTGACCAAGAAGATCAGTGCCCAAAAAGCACAAATGGACTTTCGGTGGTCCATGCCCAGATTTGAAAGTCTAAAAAAAGAACAGTTAGATATTGTTAGTTATTTTCTATTTGCAATAATAAGAAAATTAATTCTGTTATTAAAAAAATACCAAGAGATATTTAAAAGCAAACAAAATATAATTACCAAAACAATGACCACAAATCGAATTGAATTACGACTGGAGGTTTAATAAAATTAAAATTAAACTGTAAATCGGATTAATGCTGGAGACTCACGTCGTTGATGACGAAGGCGAAGTTAAAGTATTCTGACCGAAGTAGTAATAACCGAACACCGACGCAACGCTAACAAGAATGAGAAATGAAACACCGGAAAACTGACGAATTGGTGCCTTCGTTTCATATCTATATACAGTTATACAGACATGTGGGCTGTTGTTATTGGTCGGTCACCAATCACTTGTCTCGTTCTCATTGGTCCACGTTCGATGACGGAGAGGCTAAAAAAAAAATCGAAAATAGAACATAACCTCAACGAATTTTATACCGAGAGTGTCACCTCGTTACGCGGTATGTGGTAACTACTTATCAAATTATTATTATTATTATTATTATTAGAGTTATGATATTGGCGTGATTAATGTTTTCGTTATCCGTATAAGTGGAATAAAAATTTAACCCTTGCCCTTCACGAATACGTTCGAGACGCCCGCCAAGGTGAAGCTTCGAATTTCGATTTTCTTCTCCAACACAGCTCGTCTCCACCCGGTTGTGCCGTTCAATTGTAAATAATACACTTTTGGAACTACAATACTAAACATGGCGTTTTCGATTTCTTTCCACAAGTCTTCAGTCTTAACGGTAACTATTAATTTTTTTAATTTCAATGTCACACCCTGATACTACCAAATTTATAGATTAGATACACCATTTATCAATATTAGACGAGCAACGCCTGTCATCTATTGATTTAAAAAAATCCCTTATTATAAAATCATAGCGTCTAAAAGCCTGTGTCACCAATTAGTATCATTAATATCTATTATTATGTATTTAATCCATACCAATTCTGTTGTATCTGTAGCAGAATACTTTGTAAAATGATATAACTTTTTCAGAGTACCGTCAAAATACTTAAAAGATCGTTAACTACGACTCGAGTGTTGGCTAATAAGCAGGTAAACTAAGGTTTATAATATAGCTAATGAAATAGATTTTACTGTCTGTTGTACTATTTTCTGTGTAGATGACTGTTAGGGATGCACTCAATTCAGCTATGGATGATGAAATGGAACGCGATGAAAGGGTTTTCATTTTAGGTGAAGAAGTAGCTATGTACGATGGTGCTTATAAAGTTTCCAGGGGATTGTACAAAAAATATGGTGAAAAACGTGTGATTGATACCCCAATTACAGAAATTGGATTTGCTGGAATTGCTGTTGGAGCAGCAATGGTAATAATTTTAATTTAAGTATTCATTTTACAATAAAATCTATTATTAATGTAAAAAGTATTATGTACTGTATTGGAAAGTTCCTTAATCATCTATTTTATTGTATCTAGGCTGGTTTGAGACCAATCTGTGAGTTCATGACATTCAACTTTTCATTGCAAGCCATTGACCATGTTATCAATTCCGCAGCAAAAACTTTTTACATGTCTGCTGGCATGGTAATAAAATTAATAATTTTTTGATATACATATCACCATGTATTATTATTATTTTAATAAGGCGTTGCACTGTTTGTTTTTTTTCTCTGACTTGCGTGCAACAAAGACACAAAACACAGTGTTGAGAGTTTTAAATATAATTTTATCTAAGTATGGCTCTAATAAAATGCAATAGCTATTTCAATTTACAATTTTTATTTTTTAAGTTTAATGTTGAGCTATAAAATTAATAAAGTATTCAATCAATTAATCAAAACCTTCAAAATATCACTCTCTTTAATATTTGTTTATTATTTTACATTATAATAACTCAAAAACTATTAAAAAATTACTTTGCATACATGAGTCTTGCCTATGTTGCACGTGTGTTCGAGAGAAAACTCATAAATTAATCTATTTTATTTGAAAAAAATTAAATTGTAGGTAAATGTACCAATTGTGTTCAGAGGACCAAACGGAGCAGCAGCTGGTGTGGCTGCTCAACATTCTCAATGTTTTGGAGCTTGGTACAGTCAATGTCCAGGTTTAAAAGTAAATCAATTTATTAATATAATGCCTGTTGGCCTGTATAATTATTTATTCAGTGTTTTGTAAAACTAGGCAAATATTTATATACATAATATTAATTATAATTAGTACGTATCATAATTTATCATCAGGGCTCGAAAGTTCATGCACTAAAAAATGCATTAACTAGCATGCACCACTAAATGTTGGCAAAATATGTATTCAAATATGCATTAAAAATTCAGAAATATTTATTTTACATTTATTACATTATTTACATTTACTTAATTTTTTAAATTATGTACTTAAAATATGGATAGGTAAAATAAAAAACTTAAAGGTAAATTTTTAAATAATAAAGTTATCCATTTTTTATTCAAAAATTAATTTTTTTTAATTTTTATACATTTTATAACACTAAAAACCTAACTTTACAGATCAACACTTTGTTGTCATTATTACCTTATTATTTTTATTAAAGCTATGGTATATTATATAACCCGTGGTTGTATGAGAATAAAAAAAATTGAAACAAACACTTCAATTTTGTAAATTGGAAAAAAAATAAGAAATAAAAAAAAATTCTAATATTTATTTGTTTAAACAGAACAAATATGCATTGATATCTCTTAAAAACTAGTATATGCTAAATATACCAAAAACATGCACTATTAAACTTTATATATTTAATGTTATTGTTATGAAACAAATTTGTATCTCAGCTATCATGTTTTCCTAGGTTGCAAGAAAAACATGCAAATACTTGAACATACGAGCCCTGTTTATAGGTTAGGTTTACCTTAGGTATTTATTTACATGTAATTTATAACTTTAGGTTATCTCTCCATACAGTTCTGAGGATGCCAGAGGATTGTTAAAGGCAGCAATCCGAGATCCTGATCCAGTTGTGTTTTTAGAGAACGAATTATTATATGGTAATCAATATCCAATTACAGATGAAGTATTAGATAAAGATTTTGTGCTACCTATTGGAAAAGCAAAGATTGAAAGAAAAGGTAAAACTTAAAACATTAAGGTTTTTGGTAAGAATTAATATTACCTTTATTTGTTAATTTCTATGTTAAGGTGACCATATTACATTTGTGGCACACTCTAAAGGAGTTGAATTGGCTTTGGATGCAGCAAAAGAATTATCTTCAGTTGGAATTGAGGCAGAAGTTATAAATTTACGATCATTAAGACCACTTGATATTAATACAATTATACAATCAGTAGTTCGCACAAATCATGTCATATCAATAGAACAAGGATGGCCATATGCCGGTATTGGATCAGAGATAGCTGCTCAAATTATGGAGAGTAAGAAATATAACCACTATTAGCGTCTTTATATTTGCTTTTGATTTATTTGAATAAAATGTTGTTTATTAATTTTAGGTGAGGCTTTCTACCACTTAGACGCACCAGTTATAAGAGTGACTGGTGCAGATGTTCCAATGCCTTATACCAAATCATTAGAAATTGCTGCATTGCCTCAAATAAATAATATAGTTGATGCAGCTAAAAAGTTATTAGGTGTTTAAGCCTTACTCAAATTGATTATATTAATTTAACAAATAAAATCTGATTTAATATTTAGGTGCAATTTGGCCTACTTAATTTACTGTAGGACCAATAAATAAATTCCATATATGTTTAAAATTAAAATCTGTGTTAATGTTTTCTTGTTAATTTAATTTGTTAAAAAATAAAATGAAACAAAATTAGGTAATAATTTTATTATTAATTTTGTATTTAAATCATCTTGATATTGTACCTGATTGCCATACACTTAGTTTGTGTATAATATACTGTGAGCATAACGCTGTGACCTAACTGATTTGTATGCATGTGGGCAATGCACTTGGTGCAGAACAGCATGGTCAGATTAGACATTGCCCGCACCAGCTAGGACATTATAAAAATGTGAAATAATTGCTTCTTAGCAATATTTAATAATTGTTATTAAGTAAATAAGTAATACAGTATAATATACTATCATAAGATATTTAGATATCTTAAGACATTTGATATTGCGCTTCATAGGCATAATGTACAACTGTATCTCAATTTACAAAGATTTATAAATATTTTAGTTATTATTAATAAAATAAGACACTGTTTCAATTATCAATGTTTATTCAATATAATATTTATATTATCTTGGAATTATATTTATTACTCTTGTTATATTATTTTTGACAGTCTTTTGTGTGAACTGGTTTTGATTTTATTAAATTTGTTGCTTGTAAATCACCACTGATGGCAATGTAACAAAAGGCACCTCCATCAGCTGGTTTCGGTTGGTCAGATAAAAACTCATTAACATCAGACTGTGTGGGTACAGTTAGTGGATAATCTGCTTTTATTTTTTCCATGGCGTTTCCTAAATTTTCAAGTGGTCCGTCAGGTGGAGGATGTTCAAACGGTCCGGTGAGTCGCAAATCGTATAAGTAGCCCAGTAGTGCCATCATGTAATCGTTCCGCACACCTTTCATTTGTGAACAGGCAATATCCATACGTACACCACACAACTTCTGTAACCATTTCGCCACTCTAGTCTTGTCTTGCACGGTAGTCATTAGGGCGGCATAAGGTCGAGCGATATGAAGAAGATACTGAAATTCCCAATCGAGTAATGAACTAAATAGAGCTTTTTTATTCTTCTTGGTCTTTACACTCTCCTTTTTGACATTTCCATCTTCAGCCAAAATGTCCTTATCTGCTACAGACATGTTTGTTGTATCTATTACTTCCTCCGTATCTTCGTCATCTTCTTCTTCTTCTTCTTCTTCGGGACATTTGTCGTGTATGCTGCAAATGGACGGGTTAATACCTTCATCTTTTAACATTTCTTCCCACATGTTATCAACTTCCCACGTTGCCATTGGAATAGTAGGTATAGTAAAACTTTCAGGGGATTTTAAAGGACCAATAGGAGGAATCGATTTAAACACACCATACATTTCATCATTGAGAATAGACAAAATCATGTTGAAAAGATATCTGTTGCGCTTAATTTTAAAGAACTCCGTTGCATATTCTGCTGCGTATAGTTTCCTGATCCAAGGTATTACCTTCTCTTTATCTTTTTCTTTGCTCAAGTTGGGTGCGAACTTCTTCAACATAGCAGTATAATACACAAATTCAATGTTGATTGAATCATCATTTGCAACGCAGACAACTTTTTCAATCTGATTTCCTCCGAACATTGAAGATTGACGACTCAACCCAGAACGAGTACTAGATCTATCATTGCTTTCAGAGTCTTTTTCGGAAGTCATCTTGATGATATATTTTAACTCAAAAATTAAAAACTGTATAAACTATGAGTAGAGAGTTGTTTAAAAGTTTTTATTTTAATAAATGTAGGTTTTTAAAATAAAACATACAAACAATTATAGCTGAATATTATAAATACACAAGAAAATTGTTTGGTTGGTTATGTAAAGCCAGTATATAAAATATATTAAACCATTTATAATTATAAATACAAATATTTTTATTGAATAAAAAAACATTAATCTATTAGAAAGGAAAACATTCACCATATAAAATCATGAATTATTGTTTTTATTATTTATTCTTTTAAGTATTACATGACAAATTATACAATTATTATACCTTCAGATTTTTTTTTTCGTTTTGAATGTACTTGCTTAATCTCTTTGAGCAATTTGAGTTAAATGACGATCGATTTCTTGTTCGCTTAATACCCTGTGTTAAAAAAATAAATACTCGTTAAAATATGTACTCCAGATCATTTTTGGTGATCAGGAGTGAAGCTAACCCTGAAGAACAGAAAAAACCTAAAAGAAGTTTTAATGTGCACTTGTTACATTTTCGATTAGTAATTTAAATAAAAAATGGATTCCCAGTACAAATACAACAAAATTAAGGGTAAAATATAGAATCATATTATAATGTATACATTCTAAATACAAGGACATCATGTAGAATTAAAATATGGTTAAGAAATACGGTACTCTTAAAGCTATCATTTAAATATAACACACTACTTTTTTTGCTTATTTTATTATTTAACTAATTTTCTAATTGAAAATTGATAGTTAATAGTTTGTATTGATTAGACATTTGATCACTGGACAAGATTTGACTATGGATTATACCCGAAAAATGTATTAATACACTCTACATTATTATAATATAAATAAATAAATAAAAAAAATAATTACCATAACATTTTAACCATCAACAAATATGTTGTAGGTACAGAGACAAAATAATGATAATTTTTGTCATGCTTATAGTCAATTTCTAACGTGTATTAAATGTATTGCAACGATGCTACGTTAAATATAAATGAAGTAGTGTTTTATGTGATTAGCTTTTAGTTGGTAACTATGATAGTTTGACAGTTATTCAAGGTCACTCCAGTTATTTCACTACTCCTGATGATTGCATTATCTACATATATTTTTAGAACTAGGATTAAACTTACTCAAACTGCTTGTTCTCGGTTGTTACAATACCAACTTCAATGTCACTAGGTTTAAAGTCAACAGCTAGAACGCTTGATAAACATGATATGGCCAGCTAAAATGTATTAAAAAAAAAAGGTGTTATACAAATGTAACAAAATGTATAAAATTATATGGAAAACAATAAAAAAATTTTAATACTTCAATAGCTTCATCTTTAGAGTATTCCTTCTTTTTTTTCAATTTTTTTTCTAAATAAGTATTAGCTTCTGTTTGTTTTGTTCCAACTGCAATAGCATGGAATGAACAATAATATCCTGCTGGATCTGTCTTGTACACCATAGGTCCTTTTCTGTCATCAGTCCCAATTAATATCATACCTTGAAATGAAAAATATAATTAAGTAGTATATAGTGTTTGCATATACATATTTAATAAATTTAATTTTTAACTTACTGCATCCAAGTGGTCTCATTTCAGCATTTTGTGTGTATACTTGAGAAATATCAGCCATACGACTACACAATGTTTCTACAGGCATTTCAAAACCATTTTTATATTTATATTCACATGCTTCAGCTCTAGCTCTATACACTTGAGAATGACCATCAGCTAAAAAAAATAATTTCGATAAAAATTTTGCACATAACAATTAACACTTTCATTTACCTGTCATTCCAGTCATAACACATCCAATGTTTTTAGTAATACGGAACAAATGAGTTACAGTTTTAGGATCAATTAATTTATCCTGAAAAAGAAGAAATTAATTAAATATTAGCAAAGAAGAAGTTTCTAGGTACTAGCTTAAAAATAATGTGCTAACATTTTACAAGATTTATTTTAATACAACTAATGTATTTCATAATATTTATGATATGAGTATACATGTAGTTCTGAATATTCTTACATGTATAACAATATAAATTTATTTGAAGGTATGTAAACATAATTTAGTTTAGTGCAGATCGAGGAAATAAAAATAAAAATAGTTTAAATTCATTATTTATTATATTACTTATATTTAGGTCCACCAGCCACCATATAATAAGTAATAATTGTATTCAAGGTATTTGCAATTAAGGGAATCATATCATTGAGAATGGTTCTTTTTTGGAACTCTATAGAAAGGGGAAAGAATATTAAGTGTACACGTAACCCATAGAAAAGTTATTGATTTCATATCAACCAATATTTCTGAATACCTAGTTTTGATAAAATTTAAATATTAAGACAGGTTTGTATTAAATAAAACTATATATACCTATCTAGTTATCTATAATACTATCGGTTTTTCGAATAAAAAATGTATGAATTCATTAATTATGTTAGGTTTAATTTGAGAAACAGAGGCCAAGATTCACGTCCCTGCAGAGATTCTGAAGCATTTAGAATCAATGCGTCTCAAAAACATATTCATAACAAAACAATATATTATACATTTTTTTAGTTTATTAAAGGTACATAATTTAACGATTCTTTAAAGTTTTTTTTAGTACTTATAATATTTAATTAATAGCAGTAACCACTTACTGGTACTTTTCGCTGAGTAGCTACAACCGCAACATCAACTCCTTTAATTGCCACTGATGTAAGTCCGCCTTGTAATATAGCTTTGATGGCATACTCTAAAAGAAATCATAATAATTATTAGCTTGATGCATCATACAAATATATTTTCATAGGTACTTTTCACTAACCAACTTGATAAAGTCTTCCTTCTGGAGAAAATATAGTTATGTGTCTGTCAAAACCAGCACTAGTCCCACGAGACATTTTCTAGCTTATTTGATTGAATTAATAATTACAAAAAAATGAAATTATTTTAAACAATAGTGAACGATTTACAATATCATATATGTTTTGTTTTGGATGATTTTCAAAATTATTCACTGTGGAACATAACCTCAACATTATCTTATCATCAATAGTATATTGCTTATTCTCGTTGGTAACATTGACAAATATCTAGCAGTTGGTAGTGGCACTGACATTTTATCACAACGAGATTATAGATATCTTAAAGCACGGACTACTAGTAGCAGTCCGTGTCTTAAAGTGTGCTTATCAGTAAGTTATGATAAGCAACTAACATTATTCAAATTGAATTGCTTTCAACACGTTTTATCTGTCTCCGTTTTCTGTAGATTTCCGTTCCGATGTCTGCGGCTCTTAAACGTGGTCACAGGGATGACCTGGCCGATGTCGCTCCGGTGGCCAAGAAAGCCCGGGAACCGGAAACTGCCGAGCAGCGCGTTCTGGAAATCATCAAGTGCTCCGGCAACAAGGGTGTATCCGACGAAGATCTCATCCGGGCCTGTCCCGTACTAACGATCGAGGAACGCGTAGACGTGGTTAACAAACTGATCACGTCTAATGCGATCACACTGCACAAGGTAAAGGACACGCTTAGGTACAAGTATAAAGGGCCGACAGCGTCTTCCCCTGGGGACGCCAACACCGAGGAGCTGGTCGTGTTCAATCTCATACGCGACTCGGGCCGAAAGGGTATATGGATCCGGGATGTGCGCATTAAGTCCAATCTGGGTCTGCCACGACTCAAAAAGATCCTCAAGTCACTGGAGACGAAAAAAGCCATCAAAGCCGTCAAGTCGGTGGCGGCCGCCAGGAAAATCGTGTACATGTTGTTCGATCTGGAACCGGACAGCTCCATTACAGGTGGCGCGTGGTACTCCAATCAAGAATTTGAGTCAGAGTTCATCGAGATACTCACCAAACACAGCTATAAGTTCTTGGAAGCGAAAAAGTCAAAAGCCCTAAAGAACACCACTATTCGCAGTCCGTTAGTTAAGTATAATACGTCCTACGCGACTGCCGACCGGGTACTGGAATTCATATCGAAAACTGGCATCAGCAAAGTGAGACTCACCGTGGAGGAAATAATATCAATACTCGACCTATTGGTTTATGACGGTTTGGCTGCAAAGCGTGTTAACTCCGAAGGAAAAATAGAATACCGTTCCACTAAAACTCTATTGAGCAGAAATGCTGTGAGTTTTTTGCCTTGCGGTAGCTGTCCAGTCATTAAACGATGTTCAGATGCTAATCAATTAAATTGTTTAAACTGTAAGCATATGAAAATTTGGACTACAATTTGACATGGTCATATATGTTATGTGTTATGTAACCACCTGTGTATTCAACTAAGTATCTGTTATTTAATATTAAAATAATGTTTTTATGATAAAACTTACATTTTCAGAATTGTTTTATTTATTTATTTATAAATGGGTAAATATTCATTTAGTGCATATAATAATTTGGTTTTATGAATTATAAGGTACAAATTAGACATTTGGTAAACAAGGATGAGGATAACAAAATAAGAATACATTAATAACTAATAAATAATAAGTAACAAATGAGTAATAACAATAATTGAAGAATTTTAATTTATAGTTATAATGATACGCGCTGCTACGCTGGATATTAGTTTAAAATAATATTGTGGTTCTCGTTGGTACACTGTACACGGAAATTGAAATCTTCAATAATTGGTGTATTCAGGAGGTAAAATTCCTAGTAATTTTCAAAAGCACCGGGAAAAAAAGGATTAAAGAAAAACGGGAATTTATACATTAAATCAATTTTCACCGAATGTTTATATTATCATTTTCTATACACCATACAATTTTCAAAATGTTTTGACTCATGTTCAGCTATTTATAGCCATATGACATTTTCGATTTTTCGTCTGACGAAACACTAGCTAATTGTAATTAATTGTATTAAATATTTATGTCTAAATGTTAATAGATTTATGTTAATCCTAGTAGGTAGTAGGTACCTATAGCTACTACATAGTAGATACCAGCTAATTTATGCATTGAGGTATATTGGTGTTTCTGTCCTGTTCAGTTATTTGTTATTTAAAAATAACAAAAAATACAGATATCGATGCAGTTATTGATGAACTGGCTACCAGAAAACTTGATTTTTATTATAATTTTTTACTATTTTAGAAGGTAAAAAAATAATCAATGCGATGTATTAAGAATAATGATTCTTTAATCGCATTTACGTCTAAAATCTAAATTTTTAAGGCTATAAATTAATAACGAGAATATAAATAGTATATTATATTATGTACCTAATTAAAATAACATATGATAGGTTTATTATAATAAGTTGTTACAAATGTTACTTGTCCAAAAACATAATACCTATTTACTATTTAACTATTTTTTACAATTATTTTTTTAATTCAAATCTGACCACATGAATTTTAGTCTTCGACGTTGACTCGTCTCAATACCATATAGTAAGTGTATAATGCTTTTATAAACTGAAAATGATTACATAAATATATCAGCAAAATAGTTATAACTAGATAGTGAAAAAATGGTAGGTAAGTTACATAAAATATCGACGTGGTCTTCAGAAAAGTTAAAAAAAATATAAAATTAAAATAATCTTACCGAAATGAACGACTCGTAACTCAACTTGTACATATAAAATCCTGTGATAAAAGTTGGTTTAATGGATCTCAAAATCATTAACGTCAGTAATTGTCGTACCCTTTCGCCGCATCTCCACCAAGGAACGTCATACACTACGGTACAAACACTTAATTGCTGAACATAGACATAAATAACTAGGTATATAATTATATTATATTATTATATAGGTAGGTTTATAATCCCTACTTTTTGTATGATGAATTCGCCAAAAAAATTGTTAAGATATTGATGCCAAATACTAAGACAAATGAAACATACTACACTGATTGTTTCGATTACGCTGGCACTGATCTGAATACAAAACACGCGATAAAACTATTATTATAGAATGATAATATATTTAAAAAATCTCAATAAATAATTCCGAGGAAATATATGAGCTCATTAATTCTAGTATTATATATTATATAACTACTTAGGTACTACAGCCTAAATAATAATCTAAATGAGGTAGGTAGGTTGTAGGTATATATCAATATAAATACAAATGTTGACTTCATTTTCACCACTAGATTAGGTGTGCATTTAAAGGCATAGATATAAAAAAAAAATTGTAAAGAATTTAAAAATATAAAATATGTTGACGAGTGTCTTAAAAATCTTAAAATACAAAGAATAACGAAGAAAAACGTAAAATTAAAATAATAATAAATAAAGGTATTTTTTTTTTAATAATTTATTAAGGCTTAAAAAGGATTTTAGCCTGTATTAACTAGGTATTAAAGAAGAAAATATAAACTAATGTACATTAAATTTAAAAATAGAAGGTATACAGATATTGGCATGTTTTAGAGCAGAGGTCGGCAACCGGCGGCCCGCGTGTATTGATACGGCTCGCTTTAAATTCTACAACAACGAAATTTGATTGAATATCATATCGAAAAAATCATACTAAATCTATTGAAATAAAATAGAAACTATGACGGTCTCATATTGAAAAAAATGAATTAACATATTTTCCGAATTGTAAAAAACTTTTTGAATCGTCAGAATTTTCATTATCAACAGTTAAATTTGTTGGAGCTATTAACAAAATACGCTTATCAAGCAAATCGACAATAATTGTATACCTACTGTAGATTAGGATAAAACTATCTAGCACTCGTAATTCCAGTATTATGCAGTACCTACCTAATAGTATATATTGGTACAAAATTGCAAAAATCAGAATTTGAATACATCCATGAGATATTAAAGGAAACATATGAGAAGAGCAATGCCGGGTGAAAAATTCTGTACCACACAAATGGCATATTCCATACATTAGCTTGGGTAGGTGAGTAGAGGATCGCTGAAGTAAATTGCCCATTTAAATATTGGATTGTTTCATCAAATTTTCAAACGCAGATGAGAGATTTACTAATGCCGTATACGTGTATAATAAAATACTGTCTCGTACTTATAATTATTAATCATATTTTACGTAATAGCGCATACCGTTAACTGAAACAATGCAAATGTCACTGAGGTTATTCCGTGTAAATAATCCATAAGTATAAGTGTGCTAAATAGTTTACGTATATTTGTTATATAACTGCAAAACAAATGACAAAAACTACAGTGTGGTTATGTAAATAGTTTAAAAATAAGTAGGTGTTATATTCATAATTAAGTCACATATAACATATAGGTATACAGGCATACAGTCGTATGAAAAATATTTATTAGATACATATTTAAACATACTTAAGGATCAGGATGTGATGTTTTACACATTCTCGGAGTGTCGAGTAGAACAGTATTTGTTGTTTTTCAGTATAAATTGAAAGGCGGTTCGTACACGAAGAATTTTCAACTGTAAAAATAGTTTGTGTTACAACTTAATAACTGACCCCAAAATGGACTGCAATTTATTGGGGTTTGGGCTCCACTGCAGTGGTTCATCAAGTTTACGACTTTAAACTTAAAATAAACGATGATTGTTACTATTTGAGAAAATGAAATGTAAGATAATACCCCTACGGCCCTACCACATTAGGTTAGGTACATAACAACCAGTGTTGGGTAAGTTACATTAAAAAGGTAATGAAATTACTTTACTCGTTACTTAGAGATAAATGTGATGGAGTTACTTTACTTGTTACTCAAATACAATTGTAATGAAATTACTTTACTTTTTAATAGAAAAATGTCTACGTTACTTATCGTTTTAAATTTTTTAGCATTTGTCATTCTAAGAGCAACGCAACTGGAAATACACTATCTAGTATCTAAAGATAAAAGGTACAATTTGAAAAATATGTACAGTTTTTTATTTTTTAAATTTTTTTTTATTAGCTTTTAGTTTTACTAAAGCAGCTCAACAATTATAAGAATATGTACAGTTAATACTTACATAAGTACATAATAATATTAATTACTTATAAGTTATAAGTTATAACTATTAAAAAATAGTACTAATTAATTGTACACATCAATAGTTGGTCATTATTAATAAAGATATCTTCTTGAAGCAAATGTACAGGTAAGTATATTATTATGTCACAACATACAACACCAACAAAAAATAAATAAATAAAATCGTTTTCTTTTCTATTCATTTTTATAAAACAATATTTTTATTTATTTGTTATTTTTTAAATTGACTTAACAAAATAAAGTTGTATCAATTATAACAATGTAAGTTATTCCCTTAATCATTAGTAAGTTATCATCATTATTTATTTTTAGTGTTAATAATGTTTATAGGTATAGTTGTCATAATTGTTAATAGGAACGTATACAAATTTAATAATAACTTTACAGTTTACGATGTTCATAGGAACGTTTTGTGTACCTATTTATACTCTGTTCGCCGAGAGACCAGGACCATTTCGCTTATATGACTGACGGAAATACGGACTCTCAGTCAAATATCCCCTTTCTACGACTAAAACTATTTTGTATACGTAGTGAGTTCAAATAAACGTTCGTGTCGGCCGTTATAATAATATATGGTACGTATTAAACCAATGATAATAATATAATAATATTCTATCATAAAGTTCATACAACACATTTACACATTTATTTTATAAATTATTTAAAAAATAACAAGAAGCGCCCTCGAACATATGAACTTAAATCACTACAAAAAAACATGACACCGTATGCATGGCCCAAATTCTGAGCAGCTGGTGGTCGCCAGGTGGTGCGTAGCCGTTACCAGTAAAGGTGGTGTGGATTGACGAGTTTTCGTCCACCGCCCAGTCCTGGTCTCTCGGAGTCGGAGAACAGAGTATAGAAGAATGCAATTAAATAATTAATGTAATTAATTATCTCAAAACTTACGGCACAATATTAGACATATGCCAAAACCATTCAAACAAAATTAAAACAGAATTGTGGCGATTTAAAATGTGGGTATGCCCAATATCCACATTATAGAATTATGAACAGAAGTTCAACAATTTCAAAAATGTCATTTGACATGGGGCAAATAATCTTATAAATACTTACAATATCTATACATACATTTATGTTAATACTCACATTGTTCTAAAGTGTTTTCGTTATTATTTAGCGACGTGTTTAGTAATTCAATTTGACCGCCGATGGCATAAATAGCGACAAACAAATATGTATCAATACCCAAGTATACTATTACGATTAACACCAGTGCAACAGAATAGCAGACAAAAACCGCTAAAAACATCCAATTTTCGTTCAAAGTGAATGGTATCCAACAACTCAACGGGTAGCTTTTTGGATCGTTGTAGTATTGAAAATCAGACTGATCACTGTAATACGAACAGTAGGTAATTATCAAAAATCATTATTGTGTGCAAAAGTTGAGTCCGTTGCTAAGTTGCTTTTTAATATACCTAATACAACCCAAACACAGTGCTTGGAAGGAATTAGTTCAATGGTACTCGTGATTCAGTTAAATTTTCAGAAACTAAACTAGAACGCAATTCTTTTTTTGAGTAAAGGAACATATTGGAATTTTGTTCATTTTTTCGTTAATTTATTCTTTTTAATATAGGGAATTCAAATAATTTTTAGAACAAGTTTTTATAATTTTTTTTTTGAGAAATTTATTTAATATGATGAGCTACATAATTTAACCTTTTTACTACAATATACAATAATATTGACAATGTTTACAAAATGTTAAATCAGTCACGGCTGTCTTATCAGTCTCAACTTGTATTAAATAAACAAATCAAACATTTTAAAAACAAAATAACTACAGAGGTAATTAAAACAACTGTTACAACAAAGTATATTAAAACATAAATTATTGAGGAAATGAAAAATGTTTTTTTTAAGAACGATGAAAGGAACTTTCTAAGCACTGCCCAGTGCCCAAATGAGGTAAGGTATAGCCGTGTAAGTACTATATAGTCTATCAGATCTAAAATAGGTGATGTCTTATCATAGTATATAGTTATTTCAGATTTGTTAATATTTGGGTAAAAAAGTCTATATAATTTTTTCGGAAAAAAATCAGTTCATATTATTAATAAACAGAAAAAAGTCGGGTCTAATTGTTTTTTCTAAAAAATGTCACAATTTATGAATAGCATAAATTATAAAAGATATAATGAAAAATTAATGTTATAATAATGCAAAATAATTTAAAATAACTTATGAATATTTATTTCATTTAAATCTATTATAAATACATTTTTTATTATAATTCATTATTATTTATCCATTTGGAATGATTAGGATATATTTTAGACATGTTTAGAGAGTATTTCCAGCGGATGCTTGTTAATACAAATACATTTTCCTTCTTAATTTCTGGTGGTAAGTATATCACAATTTTAAACAAAATTTAGTGTTTCTTTTTCTCCCAACCTTTTTTGTAAACATACTAAACATGGTTTCTAGAAACTTTCTAGGTTCATAATACATCTGCAGGTCTGCTGCAGATTAAAAATACCGTGGGCGGTATATCACTATTTACATAATGAACCAATAAAGTGTGTAATTTTTTTCCACCGACCTTTTTGGAGGTGAGATGCAAACGCATCCGATCGGTTTTCCGGGAGAAACCCTTTATTTTATAGCCTACTGTGTGATGTACTGCTGCTATTGCAGAAATTGAAAGAAACAAAAAAATAATTTATTAAGTTATTATAATACTATATATAGGTATGTAATGATAAAGAAAATTGCATTCACATTACCCCTTTGAATATGTCAACAAGGGGCTGACGATTATGAAAAATGACGCGACCATACCGCTGAACATATACCAAAAGCTGATCTTTCGCGTTTGCTTTAAGTAGTCGGCGGTAAATGCGTCGGCCGAGCTGCCGTACGCCACCGATCCTTGAGCTTGTATTTGCGTCAGTGCAGTTTTGAGCTGTGAAAATTCACCCCTGAACATCGTCATGTAAAACCATTTGTACAAGCCCGTGGAGAACATGGTCCAAATGTCTATGGTCCTTGCCAACAGTGTTAGGTCGGTGGCAACGAACATCTGGACCATCATCAGAGTAGTGACTAAGGTGATGACGATAAAAATGATCACTCGGTAAAAGTTGAAAGCCCATCGCGTCCATTTCGTCGAGTCGCTCGCTGAAAACACTCCGATCGACCGGAGAATATTGTACGAGAACGAGAGATAATCAGGATTATTATTTTGCATATTTCTGAATGGGTATTTAATAATATTGTCGTAGGTATAAACGGTTCGAACAAACTACTTGGCGTACGGCGCGGATGTTCGCCGTGTATGAGGATCATGTACACCAACACCATGTCACCATACACAGTCGTCGGTGACGTAGGTATATTACAATATTATAATATAATGATATATCAACTATAATATTATATTATCATGATACGTATTCACTTACTACCTATATTACCTCGGTATATATTATGGAGTTGTGCCCGAAATGTTGTTGGTTTTGTTTGTTGATTTTATATATGTATTGGTTTAATTCTATAATAGCACCCTCTACTATATACCCTCTTTAATGTTTTATTAGACGTAATAATATGACAAATCCAAGCATATTATTGTTTAAGAAATCTAAACTATATACTTGCCTATAAAAGCATAATCATTATAGACCATATAATATATCGTATTGTATATATATATATATTATATTTATGTCTACGCTATAATAGGTTGTAGGTATAGGTAGGTATTAGGTACTATGTTTACAGAGTGACCCATTGAAATGCACTAGTTTTAAATGTATTTTTTTTAAATTTATTATTTGTTTTTTTTAAATGTGTCAACATATTACATGTTATTACAAGTTTATTAATATAATTAAGAAGTTATACATTAATATGGTCTGAATGGTTGGAAAATATAAAAGATGATTGTGTTGATTTAATTAAGGAGTGGGAGTGATGGGGTGTGGGATTTTGTTTATTAGACATGTCAGAGCAGCTAGAAGGGGGCTTAGGACTAATTTTAACTCGTTAAGGAAATTGGTGACGATTTGCAGAGGTTGATCGGGTGGTGGAGTGTTCGCTGTGGCTTCGGTAGCGCGTCATGTCCTCTTCTGTGTGGTGCAGGCGGTACAGCATGTGTTTGAATATGTTGATGAGTTGTTTCTGTTATTCTAGTTTTGGATTTAATGTGGCTTAATATTTTTTTTAAATATCCTTTTATTTCCTTTATAATTGGCAGCGTGGTTTATCCCACAGTTTGCACATTTTGCTGGTTCCTTTGTGTACCTGCTACTATCGTATAGGAACTTACATTCACCCGAAGAAACCAATAAAGTTAGTGTAACGAATTAAATAGTTCACCCTGTATATGTATTTAAATAATATATCTTCGTTAGATGTTTCAAAATTACAGAGTGTTGTCTATTTGATGACCATAAAAAAATGTGTACTATTTTATACATACATATAAATATAGAAATTATACATCGCTGACATAAATAAATATCTAATTCAGTTGTAATCTATAGTTTTTAGGTAGGTCATCTGATCGAAAATTAATATTTCCTTATGAAATTGTCCTCCCTTTGGGCCATTCAAATACTAAAGTATCTATATTATGTAATACAAGTATTTTTTTTTAAAATGGCAATGTATTATTATTTCTTATTCCTACTTTATAATTTCTACTTAGAATTCGAATTCGAATTTGATTTAAAAAATAATGATTGCAATAATAAATCAACATTGTTTTATTAGCGAATACGTACGTTAAAATCGATCATGGATTCGTTCCAATTTTGATATAAGATACTTGATACTTAATATTTAATTCTTCATAAATCACCATACTTTAAGTTATAACCTTGTAAGTTGTAAATCTAAAACAGGGTGGTGAACTGCCTATCCTCACCACCCCTTGAGCACGCTTATGATTTATGAATTATGAGTAATATACTTTTATAGTTATGTAATCGTATAACAATACCTGTATACAGTGGCGTCATTTCAGTACTTAATAAAGGGCCGGGGCCAAAATTTTTGAACAGCTCAAATGGGTAACTAAAAAAAAAACCACTTACTTCGCTCGAAAGCACATATATACTTACATTTTTATAAAATTACTATTCCCACCTCACATATTTTTAATTTAAATATTTTTTAATCTTATCGTTGAACATCTTCTTATACACTTATAGGTAAAACATCATTTGCAAGTATAAATAGTAGCAGATATTATATAAAATTAACTGTAGATACAAATTAAAATTCTGTAAACTAATATTATTTTAATTTAAAACAATATGATTATGCTATTGGTTCAAGTTCTGTCTGTTTTCAATTTTTTTAAACATTTTGGAAATTGGTTGCGATTCTTGAGCGATTTGCTCTAACTTAATATTTTTGGCACTTCTGTTCACTGTTTTTGACTTCAGAAACTATTTCGTTGTTTTTTTAAGACATTTATAAATATTAATAAATTAATGGAAACACTCGGAGCGAGATGAAGACGGATGAAGATAGCTGTTTCTTCGACGGCAGCGTACTTTGCACTCTAGATATGGCACAACTAGGTTTCATCGGAAGCGTCGATGTTTACCCGTAAGTTTGTTTTCATATAATTTGGGGGCTTAAATTTACTTTTTAGAATTAAATTAAATATTTATTGCCACGGAAATCGGTTAAATGAGGAATGTAAAACCACGTACAGGTACGTTTATACCCAAAAGGTCTTTGTTTCACCACTCCAGGTTTAATACGTACTCATTTTGTCTATACTATACGCAGGGTAAAACCTTAGGTTTGCATGAAGTATTAAAACAATATATTATTAATCATAATATTTTATATTTATAAATTATACATTTATACACCTCATATTTATTTGAATTTATCCTTATTTTGGAGTAGTTTATACCCTAGATATAGGTATTACATATTTTACAGTTATATATTTTATTTTAATTATTATTTTTGATTATAAAACATAATAATACACATTTATAATAATTAAAGACCGGATTTATATGCATTTTAAATTTTAAAACATACATTCAAACATGCACTAAAAAAAGTCAAAAGATGAAAGAAAAATATGCAAAAGATGCAAAATAAAATTTCAATTTTTATTACATTTTATATTTGATTTTAAGTTAACACTTAGCAGTGATAATTATTTATTAGTTTTATTAAAATTTTCATAAACAAAAAGTAAGATGTATAGTATAATAAATATGTAATACAATAATGTAATTTGTTAAATTGTAATTTAATTTTTAATCGTTGATACATTGTAAAAAATATTTTATTAAAATTAAATAGTAGATACATTGGTGATAAACTGAAATCAGTAGGAAAAAAGTACGAAAAATTTAATATAGTATGTTAATTGGAAAAATAATAACCTAACCTATTTTTAGAGTCTGAATATTCTTTGAGATGTAAAATATTTGATACTAATATTATATATAAACGCATCTAGAATCTGTTTTTTTTGCTTAACACCTTTTTAGATCGTTAGGTGTATAGTTGTATGGTTTTTTGTAAAAATATGAAAAATATGCAGAACATTAACTAACATCAGAATATGCAAAAATATGCACTATAAAATTTTGATATTTTATCAATCAAGTAATGATTTGTGGACACTCATTGACAGCATGTATATGATGTTGAAAATAGCAACATGCATATTTTTATGCAAAATTCAGTATTTAATAATAATATATGAAAATTGGTTGTTATCAAAACTGACAGACTAAAATCTTAATCTTTCCTGGACGTTTTCAGAAGTGGATTACAATTTTAAAAAAATTACACAGTTGTCATATCAGTTGCTAGATCAACCCGTTCGACATAAAATAGAAATTAATAATACATAAAGTAATGTTGTTATAGAAGTTGGAAACTACAGTAGGTATATTCTAAATAATAAACCCATCAATGTAATAACTATTAAACTCATCATTGAATTCAGAGATAAAGCGAGATAAATGTATAGAAAATAACTATAAAAAAATGCAATGTCTATAGTTCAATTGTATAAATATTTTATAAGCATCTTAAAGTTGGTCTAAACAGGGGCGCCAAACTATAAAAATATATATAGGGCATATCATATTTAACAACATACCCACCCATCCACCTTACCGAAATATTCATTTAGGTTAATTATTATTTCTTAGTTGCACTTTAGGAGACAGTTATAAAATAGATATATGTAATGTATTTTTAATAAGATAAATAAAATATTTGGTTAGGTCTACCAACTGCTATCCACACACCCACGACCCACCCACCCACAGTCGCCCTACATCAATATGGGTTTCAGCGCCCTTGGGTCTAAACATTTTGAGAAATATTGTTCAATGTTTCAATGTTTCTATGATTAATGATTATTTTTTGAATTAAAAAGTTAAACTTTTTCCAATTCTTTTTAAGAATTATTTATTCGGTTTTGGAATCCATAAAATGTTCATAATTTTCAACATACGTTTAATCAGTGTCAATTTTTTTTTTTGTTATCAGCTTTTTCTGATTTACCCTATATACTGTATAATACTATAAGCCATAGATTATCGTATTAAATACTTTTTATGTATAATAAATGGTGTGGTAAAAATACGACTTACGAGTAGTAAGTCTCAAGTGTTATTTATAGACGTTGGTTTTATTTAGATATTCTCACCAGTGTATCATAGAATTACGTTTGAGCTTGTTGTGTATTATCAATGTCCTGTCGTCATTTGGTTCGGTGTATTTTGATGACTCCAATTGTCCACTTTATAAATTGTAAAACAATTAATGCTTAGGGTACACACTGCAAATTTGTCAGGGTGAATACAAGATTGGAAAAACTACCTATAGAGTGTAGGAACGTTGTAAAAATTGTACCAACACAGTAAACACCCATTCTTCGTAGAGTACCAAAAAATAAAAAACATTTGGTATGGCAGTATATAATTTATTTCTTACGAATTATGGTCAGCAAAATTGTTTGTTTTTTTTTCAGCACAACATGGATTTGGTAACTGATCAACAGGAAAAATTGGTGAGTTGGTAAATAAAATACTAACATTTAATTGTATAATCCACTAACATTTTTCAATTACATAGTGTCCATTATAAAAAGTGAATACTTTTAGTTTCCGTCAATTAATCAATCTAACCTGAAGTAATATAATTTAAATAAAATCTGTTTTGTATATTCTATAAAGAAATATTTTAACCTTA